ATACCTCTGTGGAATTCAAATGCTTTTTCAGAATCTTTCGAGTCTTGGCTTGTAAGTGGATGCATAGAGAAGACACTTGTAATGTCTTGTTTATTTATAAAAAAAAAAAAAAAAAAAAAAAGATCACAGCCAGTAACATATTTATAACAGGCACACAAATCTGGGAAGCCCTTCTCATCACTCGATTCCAGCTGAAGAAGCCCCTAAGAAAACAGATGCGTTCTGCTTAACAGATGTGCACTAGCATGTCTTACTCTACTGAGGGAAGAGATAATTGTTTGACTACTGCTAAACAGAAACTTAACAAGATATCCATAAAATACAAATGTGTTTAAAAGTGGCATAACTGATGTTATCCGCAGGGACAGATTATAATTACATGGTCCTTTGGGCCTATTTACTTTTTTTTTTTTACCTCATTAAGCTAACAATACACATATAGATTCCTCCCATACAGTCCCCAAGCTGGAAATCTAATAGTATCCTCTATCTGTGGATAGAGGAATCTTCCCTTCTGGCTATTGTATTCTGACAGCCGGTGCTAACAGATGTCAAAATACCTGAACAGTGGCTGTTCTTGATTGGATGTAGTTGCCATTGAGCCAACAAATAGCCACCTGGCTCCTTATACAAAATCCAATTGAAAAATGTAATTTCCTCAAGCTGGGTGGTGTTGACAGAGCCACCCATAGCTTGATTGTAGCTGAATTGGACCATTTGAGCTATCTATGGCAGCTTGTAGACCACATATCTTATGTGCCTTCTGTAATATAAATAGACATATTTGTACTGTAATGTTGATTGCAGACAGCCATAAAATTTTTATCTCAGCCTCTGTACTGTAGACTTGCTATTTTTTCAGTTCATTGAACTTTTTATGTGGCGCAAGTATAGTAAAATGATAATTTTGTTTCTATAAGTAATATTACATAAAATTTATTTTTTGCTGCCTGTGTCCTACTGGGGGGATTTTACCTTATTTCCTATCTTACAGATATAAAAGGAGCTAAAAGTAAATCTCTCCAAAGTGAGACAGTTACCACCAGAAAATTTGTCCCATTGGAGGATTTCCGCTCACCTCTTGCTCTCATGACAGCTATAAAATGTAGGAGTTCTACTTACTTTTTGTCTTGGTGACAGTGGTCACCAGGACAAATAGAGAGTGTAAATCTCCCCATCAGGACCAGGACCAGACTACAAAAAATACTACCATGGAGACATCACTCTAGCAGCATTCTAGGCCAGCAAGGAAAGGACTGAATAGGATAGATATCTGTATCACTGTTATGATTCTTTTGTTGATGATACTGTATATCTACAGCGGCACATTCTCTTGCCTGACATACCCCTCAGACCTCTGTCTCTTGCCTATAATTGATTGTTGACCAATAGCCAGACATAGTCCAATATGTACAAGCAATGCTATTGATTCAAACAACACTTGTAACAATCATGCAGGTTCAGTTTGTAGGCAGGTGCAGTCTCCTGTCTCCACTGCAGGTGGCGCTCAACTACAGCGGTATTGCAGGAGGAGAGGAAGTCAGAAGGAACCTGTTCCTTTATGGTTTCCTGGGTCACTGGGGAAGCAATCCGGTTGGACACTGCCACCCCATGTGACTCATACTCCTTTGGTTCTCATTTTTGTGGGTGGACAGCATAGGGTCAGGTCTCCCATTTGACAGTCAAAGTGACTAGTTGCAAGGAAAGGTTCAAAAATGAGTAGGTACAGGCTAAGGACATGCCATACTTCCTGGAATATTCTCATTTGGGCACATTCCTCCCTCTGAGACAGATGCTGTTGGCAAATCTGAGACCTTCTCTGCTGCATATTGCTGTTGAAATCTTTGAGTGTTCCCAGTCGGGGGCCTTCTTGCTGGGTTGTTGTATCACTGACATTTGCGTTTAATACAAATCCAGTTCATTGCATCTGAACTCTAAGTAGTTACTGCCGCCACAATATGCTGCACCCATCCACAAGCTGACATCTATTTTGCAAATATTTACAGTTACTGATGCTTTTTTGAGACCCCTGATCTGCAACTGTCAACTGCAACAGTTTTGCACTGTGACTGTTTGTCACCTAAAACACAAGTATACCTAAAAAGCAATCTGGGGTATGTATAATTTGTATGGTCTTGCAACTAATCAGTAAGGAACCTTTCATAAAAGAAATGTGGAGGCTGTCAATGCTGACTTGTTCCTGAAAATGCTAGTTGTTTGGCTATTTTGCTGACTCTGGTTTCAATAGTCACTTTCTTAGTCACTAACCGAAAAAATATGAGAAAGGCTTAATGACTATGAGTTCCCAATCAGTAACTCAGAAGGTATTGAAGGCAGACGGTTAGCATAATAGCCAGACAGCAGGCATTTTCAGAAGGAGATTAGCAATGGCAATCTCTAGGTTTCTTTAAAGGAAATTCTTTTTCTTGAAGTAAACTGAAGCACACAAGCGGTGCAGTATTTTTATGGGTAATATGTATTGGATGTGCACAATTCAACCTCACCAAACCTTTAGACTGTAATTCATACTGACTAGAAAATTAACTAAGTCTGCTGATATTTCAGAAGAAAATATTGAAACTCATCTTTTATGTGTCTTTCAAAACCCTCCAAGGAAACCACATATTTCTAATTTTTGTTCTTCTGGTAATTTTTAACAGCTACGTTCTTGCTCAAGTATTTTAGTATTTCATATAAGGAATCCTCACTGTGACAAAGAAGTAAAATGGAATGTAGTAAACTATTAAAAGACTATTTTAGTAATATGAACCTTGCAACATGGAATGAGCCAATGAAGACTGTCTGTGCCTAATCATGCTACTGCACATCTCTGAGGAGGCTTTAGGCTATTGAAGAGCTGTGAAAGTCACAAAACATAACATTGCATAATATCTAATAGAGAAATGTGTTCCCAATAGCAACCAGTCATGTTTTTCTGATTATACCTTGCCAATTCATAAAAAACATTTGAGGTAGAATTGAGATCATTTTTTATTTTTCTAGCTGATCAGCAAGTTTTTTTTTACCTTCTATGTAAATTCCTCATCCATTTTGCTGCCATTGGCAAGGAGTACCTTGCAGCAGAGAAACAGTGGGCTAAGGTCTCCTTACCATAGTGGATGTGTTAGAGCCACATAGCATGCATGCACTAGGATGTGCTTTTTAATTTGTTCTACTACTTTTACTGTGCAATGCAGTGCACTGTGATGCATAATAATCCATTGGCTGTACTGTGCTGTTTACTTTGCTTTACATAAATGCTACATGTCCTATTTTTGGTGCATTGATGTGAACTGAAGCTATATCACATAAGGCTATTTGCTTTGCCCTTATGTTGGGACTGCATTGGGCAGTCCAATGACGATGCTGGAAACAAGCCTTTAAAGTGGAACTACACTGTATCTGAGCACCATAAACCAAAAAATGCTTTTTAATTCATTTTTAATATTCAAAGGAAAATCACCCATTCATCTATGTCTCCATGCTTTATTTGGCTAAAAAATCACTTAGAAAAACACCCCTCTAACATTTCTGGCCATGGCTATATTAAGTAAGGGCAGATGATTCATGTAGCATTTACTTCCTGGAATCCATTTGTCCTTTGCACCCAAATGACATTTATGTCCTTTCTTTCCTGCAAATTGGTATTTGATTGCCTGTGCATTTTTTAATTTTTTGCGCTATAAAAAAAAGGCCGACAATTTTGCAAAAAAAAAATATTCTGCTACATGTCTTTGCTAAAAAAATTCCAATACGTGTAAATGTATTGGTTTACGTGAAAGTTATAGATTTACAAATGGCGATATAATTACTGGATTTTTTTTTTCACTAGTAATGGTGGCAATCAGAAACTTATAGTGGGACTGCGGTGGGCATTCAGACACTGGGGGGAACTGACTTGATGTCACTGACATCCCCAGTGACACCAATACAGTGATCAGTGCTAAAAAACACTGTACTAAGGGCACTGGGAAGGAAGGGGTTAACATGAGGGGTTATCAAAGGGTTAACTGTGTGCTGTTTTACTTGTGTCTGTGTCCGTTTGCTTCACTACAATCACACTGCTTTGCGTGGCTGTGCACAGCCATCCAAAGCAGTGTGCACAAGCTGACAGGGAGGAGAACTGTATTGTTTACATACAGTTCTCCTCCCCATCGGAAATGCTCGGCAATCACCGAGCGCCAGTGAGTAATCACCAGTCGGGACCCAGTGATTGCCAGTCTCGGCCACTAATGGCGGCATAGGTAGGGGCGCACACGCCCCCTACCCGGAAATACAAAGTCACATATATATATATATATATATATATATATATATATATATATATACATGATTTTATGCACCCATGCCACCCTGCAGTGTTATATCTGCTATAGGGCAGTTGGGATCTGTTAAAAACAGTCAATGCTGATTGAGAGAGAGAAGTCCTGCTTTATTGACCAAAAAAGTACCTTGAGAGGAAATGTGATCTCTGACTTGTTAACCTAGTTCTCTTGTTGGATGTCATATTATTTTATTGAGTCTTCTTCTGGTAACAGGTGTTATTTATTCTATGTAGTTTTTCAATAGGATGGTATGGTTCATTACAGTATAATATTAATTTAATTGTACAGTATTTGGTATTTTTATTGTTATTGTGTTATGTTTCTGTTCTTTATAATGTTTTGTGTTGTCTCTGTTGAATGTAAATGTATCTTAATAATTTCCCTTTGGGAATAATAAAGTATTCTGAATCGAAAGTGTGAGATTCTCCTCCAACAACCACAATCAGTAGACTATGCAGTCCAGAGAACAGCTCAGAGCGTAAATGCTCAAGCTCCCCAAATTATTGGGATATCTAATAATTTGTGAGCTGAAAAATCTATTGTTGGACTTTGACCTTTGACAAACCCTTGCAAATACAACTGCTCAAACATTGTTTTTTTATATATGTTCTTGTCTCTTTAACATTTAGAATGGTCAAAACACAATATACAACAGGAATATAAAAATGATCTTACCTGGGTATAATTGTTTTAATGGTACACTAAGCTGGACATTTTTTTGAATTTTGTATGCTGTGTCTGGTCCCTTGGATGCCTTTCTGTTTGTGCAAAACCCTACTGTTTTTGACACACCTTCTGGTGTATTGTGGAAATCTAATGCTCTGAGTACATTGACTGGTCCAGCTGAAAAAGATAAAAGAAACAAAGAGTAAGGTTAGGAGACCGCACAATAATTGATCGTGTCAAACATCATATCAATGTAGCAAGATTATTATTCTAATTTCAGCAAGTAAAATTCCTTCTGGGATCATTTACGGGTTTACATTTTTAAATACTTTATAAACTGCTTTTAAAAAGATGACATATCAACAACAAAGACATTGCATATGTGGTAACCCCTATGAAAGGTATAGTAAACCATAACATTCTTAGTAAGATTTGGTTGGTTTCTTTAGATTACCACACACTACATGACATCAACATTCTTTTATTGTGTCCAAGAGTTTACTTCCTAGATTTAATAACGTTTTTCAACTCTGATGCAGAAGGCTTTCAGTAACTCTGTATCAACCCGCGCCTGCACATTTAAACTAACCTCTTCATGTAAATACCCATTAAATTCTGTTCCTATTATTAAATGTTCTAGTATTATTTGAAGATAGTTAAAAGACAAAAGGATTGATTTACTAAAGACAAACAGACTGTTCACTTTGCAAGTTGAAGCTGAATTTCCCCCAGAGCTTATTGAAACAGGTGAAGCTCTGCTGACTTTCATCATCCAATCATTAAGTATGTATGTGTAAGTGTGTTTTTCATTTTCCTTGCACATTATTGGGATATTTTTACAAAGTGAAATTTCAACTCATTCACTAAGCTCTGGGGAAAATTCCCTAAAGTGCAACTATCCTTGCAAAGTGAGCATGCCATTTGCCTTTCGTAAGCTTACAGTTCTTATCATACTGTGTCCAAATAGTTCGCTGTTTTGAGAGTTTACATTTTTTTCAGAAGCTTAGAAAATAGGTAATTTTACTCATCATATGCTCTCAACAGAGCTGGGACAAGGGATGGGCAGGAGCAGGGGCGGACTGACCATTTGGAAACCCGGGCACTGCCTGAGGGCCCAGGGTCAGTAGGGGGCCCCATGAGATACCCCTGGTATCTTTTTCATAGGCTTTTTTGAATTTGGGCAGGGACACAGGGGCCCCATGATCCCCTATTGCCCGGGGGGTCAGTAGGGGGCCCCATGAGATGCCCCTGGTACCTTTTTCATAGTCTTTTTTGAGTTTGGGCAAGGGCACAGGGGCTCCATGATCCCCTATTGCCCGGGGGCCCCATGAGTTGTCAGTCCGCCCCTGGGCAGGAGAGAGCAGTGGTAGGGGAGGATACCCCCCTCACCACACGCAAGCTCCAGATCAGTGGCTAGCAACTCAGGGCCACAGTTTCATGTCTGCTCTGATATCTACTGCTGTCACGCTGTGCTCCAAAATACCTGTTCTCCACCCCATCTGCCCACAGCTGACACAAAAACACATCAGGCACGTGGAACTACTTTCTAGCCACAAGAAAGCAAGCAAATATCCATGCAGGGGCAGTACAAACTCCATGCCAACCATGAACAGTTATAACAAGGGGGAAAGGAATGGACACAAGGTGGTACACCGATTCTATGACAAGCATTGGGGGTGGAGGGTAGTTTTGCATCCTTGCCCTAGGCACTGGATGAATCTGCCCCTGTACTGGCTCTCAGCATGTAAAGACATATTTTTGTGAAACAAAAAAAAAAACTTGACATGGGCAAAGTTCAATGAATCCCCATATTGTCTTTGGAAGATCTTATATATTTATGCTTTATTTTGATGGTAATACATTTTTGTCATCCACATCCATCCTCACTCTTATGGATGTTTAAGCCTGTTGGTCTAGTTTAGGTAGTAACCAATTAACCTTACATGCATGGACTGTGGGGAAGTTCCTGCATGGTAGAATGTTGTTAAAAAATCAGATATGTGCTACGTTTTGAACCAAAAACTAGCATATATATAAAATATTTTTATTTAATTTAAAGCTGGAATTTTAATCCAACCATTAAAGTGGAACCATCCCATTAAAAAATATGTGCTTCAAAAATGTGGAAGGCTTGGGTCATACTGTATTCCAATACTCTGAAGATTTCCCTAGATTAACTGAAACTTGAACAGCAGTTATTGAGGTCACTAGTGTTAAGTCCTTTTGAGATTGATACAAAGTATAATAATAGGATGCTCATGTTATTATTTTACTACCTTACTCACCAGTCGATCCTACTGTATTTATTTTTCTTTTCTTATTCTCTTATTATTTCTCTATGTTTTCTCCATGCGATCTGTTCCACAAATGTATTATGTACGGATGCTATAAAGCTGATGCTCATTAAAAGACATTGTAATGTGCAGCACAGTGGCTAAATGGTTAGCACTTCTGCCTGGCAGTACTAGAGTCGTGGGTTAGAATCCCAGCCACGGCACCTTCTGGCTGGAGTTTGCATGTTCTCCCTGTGCTTGTGCGGGTTTCCTCTGGGTACTCCGGTTTCCTCCCACACTCCAAAGACATGCTGATAGGGTAATTGGATCCTGTCTAAATTGGCCCTTGTATATGAATGTGAGTTAGGGAGCTTAGATTGTATGCCCCTTGAGGATTAGGGACTGATGTGAATGTACAATATATATATGTAAACGCTGCGTAAATTGATGGCGCTATATAAGTACCTGAAATAAATAATGTCTTATGCATCATATGGAAAACCTTTATGGTGCTATTGAAGACAGTTGTTATTTGTCTAACTGTTCTCATGCATTCACTCTCCAAACTTTCATTTTGGTTTCTTGTTAATCTGAAAAACTTCAATAAAAATTAGATTGATTAAAAAAAAAAAAAAAAAAAAAAAAAAAAAAAAATATATATATATATATATATATATATATATGCTTCAGCATCTAATTATAAGTGCATGTGCACTTAGTTTTCTCCTAGCCCCCTGCAAAGTCTGACAAATACCCACTAATCCAACTAGTAAAGTCAACCTAATGCAGCATTCTGTGATAGCATGGCAACAATGCTGCACTGCTCCTGGTCACATCAAACACTACTTTGAAATCGTGTGACTTACAGTGAAGTCTCATGATTTCAAAGTTGGATGACATGCTGATTTTAGGTGCAAGTTGCAAGACATCTGCAAATCGCACCAATAGTAGTGCATGTACTACTTTAGAAATCAGTGCGGTTCTGACCAAGTTGGAACCGCTCCGATATGACTGCTCTAATTGCAGACAATAGGCTGCTATTTGGCATGCTATTTGCAAGTCGCATAGCATGAAAATTGCATGCCAATTCGCATCCAGTGTGACCGGGGTCTTAGGGCTCATTTACACTTACTTGGAAATTTGACATTTGTCATGCTTTTTTAAAGCGCTGTGAGTGCCAATAAAAGCACCTGTCACAAAATAAAATGGTAAGCTTACAGTCCTGTAATTTTATTCAGTGTAAGCTACACTTTGTTTTGGAGGTATTGCAGGTATGAGATATCCCAGGATGCACTGGAAAACTAACAAGCCAACAGGAAAGACATCATCAGCAGTCACTTCCAGTGAATGTGTATATATTATGGAAGTGTCACTTCTGATGTGCAGAGTGGAGCAGCAGGAATGTGAGTGGGTTCTGGACTAGAGCAAAGCAATTAGCGGATGGTACACATGGTGTGCAACATGGGAATGCTATAGCTGAAAGTGAGGGACTGGAAAGAGAGGAATGAACGGCAGAGGATCAGCAGAGCTGGGGAACTGGAGCAGGAGAAACTAGCAGATGTCACACGTGGTGCGCAGCAGGGGAGCAATGTAGTGGGAGGTGAATGGGAACCAGAGAGGGAGGATCAGCAAACTAAAGAATCAGCAGAGCTTGGAGTTACCACTGAGTGGGGGATCAGCAGAGCTGGGGGTTACTACTGAGCAGAGGATCTGCTGAAAAAGGGTATTAATAAGCTGAGGATCTTCAGAACAAGGGTACAGTGATCTTGGGATCTGTTGACTGGGTGTACAACTGAGCCAGGGTTCTACTGGGCCTCTTTAATACAAATAGAAAATCAACACACACAGGGCATTCGCAAGACTCATTAAAACATCACCGAGGTATCACCAAAGCATCACAGAAGCATCAAAAACACTTCAAAAAAGCATGCTGAAGCAATGCTTTAATGTGTGTTAAAGTAGAAACAAGTGTAATTAAGCCCTTATGTAGACTGTGCTTTTTGCACTATAGTGGAATGGAAAAGAAAAAGTAGGGGGCGTGGCTATCAGTATTGTCCCTGCTGATTTACAAGTTTGTAGCTTGTCAATCAGTACCTGGCCCTACCTTGTCCTGTCAACAGTTTTCTGGTCTAACAGCACTGGTCTATTCGCTGTCACCCTTTTATTGTCAGTTACAGTTTCTGGAAGGAGGAACACATAAAATACAAATAAAGGAGGCTTTGGTTCAGTCAGGGAAGATACAGGAGATTTTTTATTTACTTTATAAGATTTTTAGATCATAAAGTAACTGAGTTTGACACTGACTTAAACTAAGAAACAAGCTGCTTAAAAATTTGTTTTAGGTTTTTAGTCATATAGGTGATCTTTTTTTTTTTTTTTTTTACTTATCCAAATGCAACTCATTCTTGTATACACAGGCACATAAAACTATACTGCACATAGACCAGTACAAAAAAAAAAACAAAAAAACAACATGTGCATATGCATATGTGGGCAAATACACACAAATACACATGTACATGCATAAAATGTGTATTTGAAGAGATTAAAATTCCATTCTGAGAGCTAAATTTAAGTTTACTTGTGTGTGCATGTATGTGCAATTGTGCACAGTATTATGCACAAATATTTTAAAATACGCTGAAAATATATGCAAGAAATTTTGGCCAGGAATATTGATGATCAAACATCAGTATTGTGTGCAAGTATTGCAAATGTTATTGGGAATTTTCAATTTAAAATGGAACAATATTCAACCATCTATATGTGGATTAAAATACAAGTGATCTGTTTCCCCCATTTAATATGTATTTGTTTAGCCATCCTTGTGACCCATACTGCCCTCAATCTGTACTAGAATGTGTGAGACTTTACTATTCTCAGCTGCAGCACTAAAAATTCTCTCCACCTCCAACCTTTCCCTGTTTTTAATAAACATCACCCACCTGTTGGAGTCTTCCTTGTGCTCTGCTGCTGCCATAAGCTCATCTAACTACTTCCAGCTATCTATACCCTAAAGTGCAAGAAACTGGCTGATTGTGCATAATATACAACTCTAAGGGCTAGTTTACACTAACATTAGCCCTCTGAAGACTGATTGCTCTTCGAATGATGTTTGACAGGTAATAAGGAGGCATTATCCTGCCTCTTCACCACCTGTTTAAATCCCTAAAAACCCATACCACCATGCCGAAACTATGTGCATTTCACTCAGTTGAGAAACAGTTGCAGTGTGGCCCTATTCAGATGAATGGGGTGTATTTGGTGTGGCTATAGCTCAAAGAACACTACAGGGGTGATAACATTTGCAGTGCCACAACATAATGTGTACATTGGCGTCCACAGCCTTTGCAGCTTGAGCGGGAGTGTTTTTACCCCCCAACTGCAGGTGTTAATGAGTCCAGTTTGATGTCTCGTGCACAGGGGATTATAAAAAATGAAAGTAGCCAGAATTCACAGGTAGCTATACAATCAGCTTTTAAATATACTGTGTATTTAATGATTTCTAAATTAATGATAAAACTAAAAGATGTTTTGCTAGTTCCAGTGTAAATTATTTTTCAGTCATTCATCACTTCTTTCCTTATTCAAACATTGTATCCAGACAGAAGAAAAATATTGAATAAATACAACTGTATCTCCTATTGACTGACTGGCAAAATAGTATAGTGTTCTTGAAGTTAATTGAAAAATTCTAGTGCTGGAACCAATGTAGTCTTAAAGGTCATTCCAAGGGTACAAGTGGCAGCCATATGTAAAAATATAAAACCCTTCTAGAATTACAATCCTTTCATAGAAGTAGCATGTTAGAAGTCAATCTGTTATATAATCTAAGTGCTGATAACATTGACAATAAGGAGTCATTATTTTCCCAGTCAGGATAAAGAAAAGATAGGTTTGAAATAAGGAATAGCTGGGAGATGCACTACTGATGAATTATTTGTAATTGAATCTCTTTTTCTTAACCACTTGAGCTCTGGAAGATTTTGCACCCTTCGTGGCCAGGCCATATTTTGCTATTAAACATAAAATGGGGTATGTAGCGCTACAAAATATCAGACAAAGAGGGTGACACCATAAAAAGAAACAATAATGGACAAAATTGTTCATATGGTGTATCTGGAGGGCAGATGGATATGATCCTGTGACGTTCCAGATCCAACTCAGTAGGATAGA